TTCACTCAGCATAATGTCCTCCAGGGTCATCCATTTTGAATAATATTGCATGAGTTCCTTGTTTTTCAATGCAGCTTAGTATTCTGTTGTGTGAATGTACCACAACTTCTCTATCCATTTTTTTGTTGATGTACACTCAGGTTGTTTCCAACTCTTTGCTATTGTGAACAAAGCCACGATAAACATGGGGGTGCACTGGAAAAATTTTGACACACACAAGGATTTAATCTCTAGAAGGCCTCATTCATCAATTTTATCCTCTTCAGATTGTGTATTTCTGGCTGTATTTGGCAGTCTCTTTAGGTTGTAGACTAGAGTGTTTAAGCTTGATCCCAGTTTGTCTCTTACGAACTTTATGGTTTTGGGTTTTACTTCGAAGTCTCTTATCCATCTTGAGGTGGTTTTTGTGTATGATGTGAGATGTGGATCCTGTTTCAGCTTCTGCAGGTAGCAGTCCAGTTTTGTCAACACCACTTGTTGTAGAGGTTGTCATTTTTCTGCGTGATAGGTTTTATTTCCTTGTCGAGTATCAGTTGACCATAGATGCCTGGGTCTATTTCTGGGTTCTCAATTTTGTTCCATTGGTCTATGTGTCTGTCATTGTACCAATACCATGCTGTTTTGGTTACTACCACTGTGTAGTAGATTTTACGGTCAGGGAGTGCTATGCCTCCCACTTCATTTTTGTTTTCAGGGAGTGCTTTGCTTATTTGGGATCTTTCCTCTCCATATAAACTTGAAAATTTCACTTTCAATCTCCTTGAAAAATTAAGTTGGTTTCTGTTTTGGGATTGCATTGAACATGTAGGCTGCTTTTAGTAGGATTGTCTTTTTCACTATATTGAGTCTTCCTGTCTACGAACAGGGCACATTTTTCCGTTTCTGTAGGTCTTTTATTGTGTCTTGGAGAAATGCTCTGTAGTTTTGTTTTTTATACTTTTTTTCTTTGTATAGTTCTTCTGTATCTCTAGTTAGGTTCACTACCAAGTATCTCAATTTGTAATTGGCTATTGT